CTAACTATTGACAAAGATAATTTTTTTTTATTTCTTTCTCTCTCTCTCTCTACCGATCGATCAAAAGCGAAGTAGACGACGATGACAACGCCTAACAGTAGTGATGATGCACAATTGAAAGACAAAAACACAACATCAACAACAGTAAATAGTAATAGTAGAGGTGAAAATATGAACCAATCATCAACGTCTACTAATTCAGTAACACAAGAGGCAACTAGTAATGAAGCAACAACAACAAATTTAAAGTCGCAAGAATCTTCATTTGAACAAGCTTTCTTTTTTGGTTTATCTATTGATGATGCAGTTAATTCAACTGAAAATCTTATGGAATTATTTTACAATGCTTGCAAATTTAATCATTTAGATCTCGTTAAAAGATGTGTTGAAGAAAAACATGTTAATGTTAATGAATTATTCAATAATGATTATCCATTATGTATTGCTAGGTAAGTCATTCAAATAGAAAAGATGTTTCTAGAAAAATTTTGTTCAAAAACAAATATTACATTAATGTACTCGTTCGTATCTTTTTTTTTTTATCTTAGCCATAAAGGTCATATTGAAGTAGTTCGTTATTTATTGGCTCATGGTGCTGATATTCATCTTAAACGAGAGCTTAATCTATCAAATGCACGTAGTAATAATCGTTTAACTCGTGCTAATGTAACATATGGTGATAGTCCACTTTCACTTGCAGTCAAATATGGTTTTGAAGATATTGCTATTGAACTTGCTGAACATGGAAGTGAAATATTAAATGCAAACAATGATTTTGAAAAATCTCCATTACAAGATGCTATTCGACTTAATCGTACTCGTGTTTTAAATGTTTTTATGAATAAACTTAAAAATACTAAAGCAACATCAGATTATGATGAATCATTATTATTACAAAAAAAAGGTGATATACTTCGACAATGTCTTATTAATGATCAAATAGATGCATTACGTATATTTGTACCAAATGTATGGGAAGAACTTAACAGTGATTTTATGTTTACTGTCTTAAGTAATCTTATGTTAAAAAATAAAATTCAATCAGATAAAGCATTTGATGTATTAGAAACAATACTTGATGCTATTCCAACATCAAAATTAAAAATGTATGATTTTGGTGATTTACTTCGACGATTTTTACATATTTTACAGGCACAATTTGTAACAATCAATGATGATCGAATTCAAATTCTTTATTTACGTACATCACTTCTTTTTACTATACTTAAATATCATGAAATAATTGATTTTACTAAATATTTGGATTTGTTAGATGTTTTTTTTCGGGCTATTTATAATAGTGTTGAAAGTACAGGTGAGAAAACGAAATATAATACATTTAAAGATAAATTGATGTTTAATAATATTTTAGGCGAAGGAATTAATCAAATATATGAATATATCGTTCGCTTTTATGACAATCTTATTTTAATGGGTCATCTTATTCTAACAAACAATACCGTTATATTAAAATTACTCGAATGTGAACATGTTCAACGTATGCAACCAATTGATATGTATCTATCATGGCGTGCACGTAATCCATTTTTACTCAAAGAGAGTTGTCGTCTTATGATTAAAAATATATTACCGTCTTATAAGCGTGTTATACTCGACAAATTAAATCTTAATGACGATGCATATTCATATTTATATTATCAACGATAGTCGTTTAACATCACTATATATACTCGCAATAATACTATTCAATGTTTTTTTTAGTCGTGATACCACAAAAATAATATTCTGCGTATGTGTATGTGTGTGTTTGGTCTTGTTGTTGCTTCACTTTATATTGAACAAAAAATAAAAAACCTGAGATACTAATTGTGGAAAAATAAACCTATTTAAATTATCACAAATTTTAAAAATAACAGTGTGTGTTTTGTCCCTTTTTTTGTGTTTTCTTTAAATTTATGATTATCCTCTAATAAACTAGAACAAATTCAAAAGGAAGAAAAACGATCAAAACTTTATGTGTACATTTTATATTATTTGATAAAAGAGTATTTTTAGATTGAAATGGCAAAAGCACGTATCCATAATGCTTTTCAATCATTTATGTCTTGGATTTCACAATCACTTGATGCGAATGCAACAGATAATGCATCAAAAATATGTTGGATTTTTCATCTTCCACCTGAAATTCTTCAAACACTCACTGAATATTTAAATGTTCATGATATTATTTCTTTGAGTAAAACTTGTCGATTGTTTTATACCCTAATTAATGATGATAACTTTTGGATTCATCGTATACATTATCAATTTCCTTCATCTATTGCTATGTTTTATACATCGGATTTATTTCAAGAACCTGAAAATATTTTGACTAATGATGAAATTCGTCCATCTGGTTTCGATCATATTAGAGTCGATCATGAACTTGATATTGCTGCAATAAAGTCAGCTACACATTATAATGATGAAGCTATTGAAAAGCGTCATGCTAAAATGTATACATCAAAAAAAGATTTTTTAACTAAACTACAATATTTTCAATTTAAACAACCAAACAAAAGTCTGGAAATTCCAAACATGAAATTGATCTATTTTTATTTGATTGATCGAAAACGAACTTCAGTTGTTGATATGAATGTTATTCATCGTAATTCTTATTATCTTGTCGAACAAAATGAGAAAGATAGTTTAACAGGTCGTATTATTCGTTTACAACAAGTATGTTGGCTTGAAATAAGTGGTCGTTTTGAATATGATATTATGCCTGGAAAATATGAAGTTATTTGGCGAATGAAAAGTTATTCAGGTTCTGTCAATTTGGGGGGAGAAACGGAATTTACTGTTGTACCATCCAGTGGAAAAATGTTAATTCGTAAAATATCTGAAAATGATTTTCAACATTATATACTCGAACATGGTAATCATTGGTTTTTAATCAATATGGGTCATATTGTAATTTATGAAATCTCAACAGTTTTCATGGGAATACGCAATTGGCATAATGGAAATTGGAAAACAGGCATTTCCTGGGATTGTATCGAATTGAAACTAATAGCTTAAGGCTCTTCTCCTTGTTTTCGATCAAAAACTCAATTTTGAACTCGGCATTATTTATAACTTCTAGTGTTGTATGCAATGAGAGACATCATTCGACTCTAAACAGCTTATGCGAGTCAAAGCTGGAATGTCGGCTTTCAGAACCCTATAAATTCGGCTAAGAAAATCAAAAATCAAACTGATTGATTTTATCCCTCGAGGATACTTCCAAGACTCTGTGGTGAAAATTTCAGCTCAATCGGACAACGTTAGAATGGAATCGTCAAAAGACAGGATTCAAAAAATTGGTATTTTACGCTACACTAAGTAAATGAAAAGAACTTTAATATAATTAGCAGGAAAAAAAATTCCTAATTCAGTAACTCTGTAACAACAAATTGTTTAGAGTTAAATAATGTTTCTAATTGCACACAATACTTGAGACTATCAAACTTTATGACTAGTTCGGAATGGAGTTTTTGGTCGAAAAAGAAGAGCGAGTATACTTTATATTGTATATTTATGTATATATCTTATTGCTTATTTTACTAATCTTGCATAATATTTTTGTGAAACATGATGCGAAAGAAATGTTGAAGTACATGGTGGGAAATAATATTATTTCAGGGGAGTATCACTATGATTTCAAATGGTATCAACAACAAATTTTATATCAAATTAAAGCGCGTCACAAATGGGATTTATCGGTGATAAATAGTATGCTTCATGGTATACTGTTAGTGTTAAACTCATGAAGTTTCTAGAATTTGACGACATCCCAGCATGGAAAAACTTTTTTCATGAGGAAGTTCAAACTAGATATGATTTACAATGCGAAGAATAACAACAGTAATCGACTGCTCGCCTGAAAATATTAAAATAATAATAGAAAATGAAGTTAAAAAAAATACTATGAGAGACGAAACATCAATTTTATCATTAAGAAACTCTAATATAATACGTCTCAAATTTTTGAGAAACATGAAAACAAACATTGCGCCATTTGAAGCTCTTTTATCACGGGATCTGCTTGGACTTTGCGCTGTAAAGAACGCTTATGCCCGTCATACTAATTATTGATCATATTTATGAAATTTTAGAAAACTCATTATTACTTCCTAGTATTTATCATATTAAATCAGATCTAGTTTGAATTCCCTCATGAAAGAAATTTTTCCATGCTGAGATGCCGTGAAATTCTAAAAAATTTGATGAGTTTAACACTAAAAGGTTATCATGACCCATCATAGCGCTATCCTCTGGAATAATATTATTTCCGACCGTGTATAGAGGTAGAGATCTGAACTTCCGTTTCTCATTGAATGTAACGGACACATTAACTACTCAATGGTCCATTGCAGGTTGCGGCAGATTTAGCTGTATTACTATGAAAAAAGATTGAATTCAAGATATTTGTCTTTCGTCTTCTTGCGAAAGTCATTGTAACATATTACGGCTAACAACAACTTTGTTGAGAACATATCAATACGCTGGTTTTCAAAATCTATTGCGTTTCAATCTATGCATATCAATCGTGTTTTCACATGATTTTAATCCCATAAGTATTGCACTGACTGCTTTTTATCTTGTCGAAAAGAAACAAAATACAAGATAATAAAAAATAATCTTATTTATGCTATGAGAATCAGCACAGATATACTGTTTCATAAGTAAACAAGAATATTGATAGATGGCATTGGTCAACATTCCTAATAAATCAAATCAATTGCATATTTTAAGATAAAATATTATCCTTTCCATTGTAAAGCTATTGATTAATGATTACTAAACATATGTTCAATCATTTTTTTCAATCAAAAGTTCTGTTTCTATAGAAACTTTATGTTTATGCTGCAATAATTCAATCTATCCAATCTCTAAAATACAAGAAAAAAAAGAAAACAATTTTCGATTTGTCAAATGCTTCAGCTTTAGAATGAAAAAGAAAAGAACAATATATTTCGTCTTCTACTTATGTTTAACTAAATAGCTGAAGAATAAACATGACAGATGGTACTGAGGAACATAACACAAGAGATCGTAAACCCTCATTTTCACTAACAACAGTTCCAGAAGAATCCGAGATTAATAGTACTATCGGTGCATTGGTCATAACTACGCCATTAGTAGAGCCAAAGGCTGCTGTTGACCCCACAAATAGTAGTCAATACCGCCCTCGTCGTCGAAGTAGTATATCAATTCTTCAAACACTTGCTCAATCTCATTTACTCTCGACAAATGATGCTCGAAAAAGGTAAACATACTTATTTTTTACTTTTTTTTTGAAATAGAAATTTATTTTTCAATAGAAATTTTCTTGTCGGATCATCTCGACAATTATCAGAAAATGCTATGAGTGACATGTCTTCATGTTTTCCAAATGGACGATCATTAACAATAATGATGGTAACATGGAATACAGGTGAAGCTCCAAACTTATATGAACAAAACTTTACACCAACAGTTCGAGAAGAAGCTCAGCCAAAAGAACGTATGCTGTCTGATATGTGTGATATATTATTACCAACATTTATTGATTATGTTTCTGATTTAATTATTGTTTGTACACAAGAAATGTCTGCAACAAAAAATAGGTATCAACTAATATGAATATTTATATCTATATCTATACATTCTTTGATATAGAACGGATTGGGAAGTTTTACTTCAAGAAGTTATTGGTCAAAATCATGTTTTATATCATTCAATTCATTTTGGTACTTTATCATTATGTATATTTTTACAAAGAAATTTAATTTGGTTTTGTACTGGTATATAAAAAGAAAAAGATTCAAATTATTTCAAAATTAAACCTTTTATTTTTTCTTGTCTTTCTTTAGAACCTGAAGAAGATGTTATTAAGTTTCGAGCTGTGAATGCTTTGCGTACAAAAGGTTCAGTTGCTATAACTTTTAATCTTTTTGGTACATCATTTATGATTATTAATTCACATTTTGAAGGTTTGATTATATATACATATATGTATATGATAGTTTATCAAATTATTGATATTTGTTTTTGTTTAGCTGGTGAGGGTACCGAAGGTCGATCAAGTCGACAATTAAATTTTCAACATACACTAGATAAATTAACAATACCACATGAATTTGTTGAAAGAGCTATTGTATCAAGTAAATCTTTAGTATCTTTAGTTAACGAAGAAACTTTACAACATTCTGAGTCAACAGTATCACTTGAAACTGTTCGAGATAGAGGCATAGGTATATTTTATACTAAATATATGCTTTTTTTCCTATTATATTAAGTCCTATATTGGTTTTTGTCAGATATAACAAAAGCATGTGATTGTATTCTATGGGCCGGTGATATGAATTTTCGAATTGATATGAGCCATCAAGAAGTAGTAGATCATTGTAATAAAAAAAATTATGCTGAAATTTTACTTCAAGATGAATTTCGTATATTACAACAGAAAACAAGTAAACAAACATTCCTGTTTTTGTTTTGTTTTTGCAGAAATTTAAAATAAATTTTATTCAATTTCATTTAAGGTAACCGCCATTGTCAGTTTAAAGAAGCAAACATTGACTTTCCTCCGACATATAAATTTGATTTACGTTCTTTCAATGATATTTATACTAAAAGCCGAACACCATCATATACAGTAAGAAGATATCATTATTAAATTAGAAATTATTTTTCTTTTTTAATCTTATTCGATTGACATATGAAAAAAAATTTGTTTGATATATTTAGTTTCAGTTAGAGATCTATAATCTGATTCAAAATGAACAGTTCGCTTATTATAAACATCCCCAATCTAACCTATAACTGATTAATATAAGAGATGATTTCTTATAAACATGACTTGCTGGCTATTGAAAATTAGTTTTTTTGAGACAAATTTCAAAATAATTTTTCAGTTATGTTTATGTTTATGAAATTCTCCTAGGTCGACTAAGCAAGGTTTTTCGCGATTTAATAGGCATAGTATTACGACCGTATTCCACTGTATTGTAAACGATCTGATACTCGGTTTTCAGCCAGAGCTCCACAGGGTAAAACTTTTTCTTACTCTATACTCTACTCTGAGGTTTCGACGTTTCAGCAGGTATCAATACGAAGTTTTCTTTACTATATTTTAGCATATTTTATGTGTTTTCAACAATAATCAAATACAATGTTATCACATATTTCAATAGTTTCGTAAGAATAAAATGTCATTAAAAATGTCACCACTCCATTATATCTTCTCTCTTTCAAAACCTTCTCACTTGCACTGAAAATATATTCACTTGTGCCTGAACTTGCTGGCACTTCCAATAGCCTTTTTCTAATACACTACGTTGTGGATAGTTAAATGATCATTTGTCATATCAGTTTAATACTGACTCTTCTTTACCGAACCTTAATTTACCTTAAACGTACCGACCGACTTCTTCTGACCCAGAAAGATGTCATAAGTATCTTCAAGTTGCTTGCTAGAACACTCTTAGCAATAGGAACCACACCATAATTCTACTCTAAAAATTTTTTACAAAACCTTTACCGTATCTTACCTAAGCTTTGCTTACCCTTATCCTACTCTGCGAAATACTGTTTTCCAGACTGTTATCAACTGTGTACGGCACGATAAAGTACGGTTATAATACTGTATCTATCAAATGCTAATTAACAACTATTTACGATCGCAAGCTGTGTAAACGACAGTGCATAGAGTATCGTTTTTGGCTCTCTTGATAATTGTAATCATCGTTCTGGGTAATGAGTTGCATGTCTAACACAGTAGTGTATCCACTTGTAGGCTAGACCAGGCACTGCTCAACTACCAGACGAAAGAAAAATGTAATAGTTATCGTCATGAATATTATATATTATGGGTGTTCATCAAGATCGTACAACACCGTTTTTCCACTCACGATCTTCTAGTTACATCAAAAATGTTCGACCTGAGGTTTTCAGCAATCGAAAGAGTAAAAATTTAACTGTTTTTTCTTTGTCTATTACTCTATAACATAAAGTTATTTTAAGATCCATCATTTTCACAAAATATTCGGAACAACGCGATGTCACATGTGCTTCAGATAGAAGAACCTTAGATCTATAGTTCAAGGCACAAATTAGATGATTACCTTGTCATAGTTTACTATTGACCAGATGATGGGTTTTTAAATAATTTTATCTTATATAAAATATCAGACCAAATGATGTCTCGAGTTCTCTTCTTTGAACTTCTAAAACGCGCATGTCTTTGACTATGTCCGTTGTCAAGTTATTGAGTTTACACACCAAGCATTCTTTGATTCCGGCAAAGACATTAGTCTAATATGATATTTTGTCACATTCCAAGACAACATATATCTTTATGAATTATCAAATATGTGAAAGAATACTGTTAAGAGCTATTCAATTTATAATACTGATTAAAACAACTATTGCAATATATGAAATCTTTTTTTTTTTGAAGGATCGTATTCTTTATCGAGATAAACCAGATTTACAAATTAAATGTACACAATATAAATCTATTGAAAGTGTAAAACATTCTGATCATAAACCTGTTGTTGCTCATTTTCGTGTTAAACTTAAACCCGGTTTACATACGTAAGTAGTTTCAGATAACTTATTTATTCGTTTTTTTATTCAAATATGGTTTTAGGGGATATCCTTCATATGGAAAATTTAATCGTGAAGTTTATCAACGTGGTAGGTGTCATTTTGATTAGGTATTGTTCAGAAAAATTTTTGTTTTTTTTTTGTTTTGAATAGGTTGTGAACAACGTGAACAACATCATTCATTAGGTATTGGTTTAGAAATTACTAGAAGACGTCGACCGCCTATAAGTAAAAGTTCTGTTTGTGTTCTTCAATGAATTTCGTTTTGCTTATTGTTTTAACTATTTATTATTGAGCATATTTCGAAACGAAATAAATTTTTCTTTTTCTAATATATTTGATTTCATACGTTATCATCTTTTATCTATGAGCAAAACCATATTAATGAGATCTTTATTTTAACCTTGAGAGAGTAAAAGAAGAAAACCTTGTTCGATTTTGTATGAGTAACTGAGAATAAAGAAGAATTAATAAAAACTATTATCCTTTATAATACAATTGTAAGGATCATCTTTATGGATTGTTAGATACAATTTTTTCTCTTAACGATTGATCTAAATTTTCTGCCTACTTCAAAAAACTTGATCATGAAAATTTTTTCTTCACGAATCACACATGTTTTTCTTCATGTTGAAATCTATTTCTGTGAGAAAATACGCATCAGATTATAAATGGATAATTGAAAAGTTGTTTCTAGACAAGATGTTTGTTCACTTATGATCCACTAGAAAGTGTTTCCATCGAGTTAATAGTTATTAATTTGTGCTCTTGTCGAATATGGGCTTAGAAATCTTGTGTCTGTTTCTCTTCATGAGTAATGAGTGACTTTTTGAAAGACATGAAACATTATTTTTAATGAATAAGTCAACAGGTTCTTGTTTATCTCTATGACTGCCTTTTCAAACGTGCTAAAAGTTGTCGCAGTCAGTTGTTTTGTAGAGCTGGCACTGCTACATGATATGATGTTGAACTAAGATGTAACTTTAATTCAAGCATTTTTTCAAAAGACCATGTCAATGAAAAATTGTGGTCGATCTTTCATCAATTTAATTGGATCTTCTTGCTCGTTATATAATTTTACGTTTCCCTGAGAAAAGAGATAACATGAGAATCAAATTAAGTATACAGTAAATTAATAAGATGACTAGAAGAATAAAATTAATGGTAATAAATACGAAAAGTGCTATAGTAACAAAACAAAAATCTAACATTATCCATAAGCTCATTAATGAGGGAGCTAATTCGACTAATAATCTTTGTTGGAGCTCATAGGTAGCAACCATAGTATAGATAAAAACCCTGACAGTGTACGTGCTATGAGACCTTTCTTCTGCAGCTATGGTCATTTTTATAGAACTTTCAATGTATTGCAGGATATGACGAGAAAAATCGAAAGAAAGAGTTGCGGTTTGAAATTCTCTAAAACAATAGCTCTTATGGTTCTTATGATATCAGTCAAGTTTCAGCTAAAACAGATGATTTCTTTTTTAAGATATCGTATACCTAAAAACTGGGCTATTTTGGAAGCTTTTGTATTTACATTATGAATCCTAGTTGTGAACACAAATGGAGATTGCCAGTTGGATGGGTTTTCTTGTAAGAGACCCCTATGGTCAATCAAGTGATTGATCAAACTGTCATAGAATGAGAAAAGTGAAGAATAAGTTATTGATTTGCCCTGTTGTGATCGTTGAAATCAATATGAGTAAGGAAAAACTCTACCGATTACGATTCTCAATCATTCAACTGGTAGAAATAATGACATCAAATATTAAGATATTTTATTCAAAGTTTTAGTTAGTCGAGCATTATGGAACATAGTATAGTTATTAATAGTAGGTTTATCACTGCTGTAGTTGTCGTTTATGTTAAGGGAGTGTAACGAATCGGAAAGTGTCGCAGGAATTTTTTGAGACCGCCAGAACTAGGGAGAAATCAATGATTCATAAGATCAATTGGAAAATTTTTGCTTAAGTCGAGAGGATGGTTCGAGAGCTTTTTTGGATTTAGTGAGCAAAATTAACAACAAAACTCTTGAATTCTGCTGGAAAAAAAACCAAGCTTTTTCAGTACTGGAGTTTCAATCAGAACAACTGTTTCCATAGTACATTTGATCGAACTGTCTGAGCTGCAGTTGATAAATCTCTTTATATCTAGCATGCTATAGTTTTAGCACTAATGTCGTATGTAATATGTTATAGAGAAATGAAGATTGTCGTAGTTTCTTTTTATTTTGCGAGATTACTAAACTTTTACAAGAAAGAAATTACGAGAATAATATAAATATCAGCATAAATAAAAAAAAAAAGAGTATGCTCGAATATACAAATTAGCTCGATCATCATTGTGCGGCGGAATGATAAAAAATACAAAAACAACGAAAAACACAAAAAAAAGAATGATTGATCGAGGTGATCATCAATAATTCTAAGACAAAAAAAAAGATTTAAAAAAAATTTGATTCATTATAAATAGTTTATCATGAAAATTGAGAATTGAAATTAAAATTAAAAATGGACTATACTTGATCTTTATTTCTGTTTGCTTCCGTCCGAGATAATTCAATTGCTTTTTGTATTGCCCAAATACTCAATGCACGCATATATCCACACTAAAATTAAGTAATAAATCAATGTTTATTTCTATATAATCAATATAAATTCCTTACAGATCGAAAACGATTTTCACGTGTTAACGCTTCAGGTGTTTGAAAAGCTAAACCAGCTATATTATAACATGTATTATAAATACCTTCAGATGTTACAAATGCTTCATTTACAAGGTTCTAATAAAGATAAATCAAATATTGTACCACTGAAAACAAAACTAAACAAATAAAACTTTACTTCCATAATCATTGTTGATGACAAACCATATGTAACACCAGTCCATACTTCTTCAGATTGTATACTAACAGTTTCTAATTTTCCTGTTTTAGTCATTCCATTAACAGCACCTAATTTGCCATTACCAAATTCCATTACATTCGTTTTAAATATTTTAGTAAGTATGCTATCTACTCGATCTTTTTCAAAATCCTATAAAAAAAACAAACAGATTTAAACAAATAATCTATAATTTATTTCTATATATGTATATATTTACTTCATATTTATGACCAGATAAACGTAAATACCAAAAACCAGCTAATTGATCAGACATAATACTATCATGTTGAAATGACATACTCGAATCATAATCATAATATTGACCTAAAAAATAGAATAATTTTCAACTGAATTGATTTTGAAATGATGTATGCTTAGAACGAAGAATTGATTGCTTAGTAATACCAGTCAAAAATTAAAAGTAATCGTTCAAGGCTAGCGAAGAAAGTCCTTGAACTGTTCAACCGATTTAGAATCGAAACTATGTGCACTATGTAGATCCATATGAGCTGTCAATACTTTGAAAATCTAGCTATTACTATTGAGAAACTGTATTTTTTAGCAAAATATCATGACTCCCCTCAGGAACACTAGGAAAACAAAATTTCGAATTTCGACTTAAAACTTTGTATAGAGGCAGATCTGAACAAAAATCATTTATTATAGAATTTTGAAATCTTTTCATCGCTTTTATGGTAAGATATTACTATGATAAAACATGCTTATCACGTCACTGATATGCAACGACAATATCCGATATCTGTACTTACAATCAAAAAAATTCCTAAACTTTCACAATAAGTTATTCTTGTCAAGATCTGTCCCTATGTAAAGTTTCAAGTTAAAAAGTTGAATCTCAGTTTTCTTGATGTTTCTAAGGGAACCATGGTATTCTGTTAAAACATCTTGTATCTCGATAGTAATAAACTATTACTTTGAGCTCTATTCAAGATATTTATAGCTAAATGATGCACAAAGTCTCGACTCAAGAGAAACTTGACACTTAGAAAACGTTTCCTTGTGAGCGATTGAAATCACGAAAAACTTGTGGCAGCTTTTAATTTATCTAACTCAAGTTTTTCGCAAAGTTTATCTTGACTTATAACAATGAAGTACTACTTCAAGTTATTGACAAGATTGAGTCCAACATTTATTCATACGAAATTCAATGTTTCTTCAAGAACATTTTTTGAAATCTGTTTCACTAGGGAAATGGTACAATTTGGTGCCGAAGGCAATGAAACACTTCAACATTTGTATAAGAATATTCAATGGATTATGTAAACCTATCGGTTGCATAGAAAAAGAAACAAATGTTTGAGTCTACTCAAGCTTTTTTGGCTCTGTTGTTATCTATATATAATATTTAATAGTTACATAAAATAAATAAACTAACCATTCCATAATTTTTCTGAGTACGATTTTTTAGCTAATTGAAGCCATACTTCATATTCGTCTACCAAGCTTGTATCATCCATAAGCCGAGCCATTTCTAAAGAAGCACGAAGTGCAGCTATATGTAAACCTCCACAATATGCACTAAAAAACAAAGAATATAACCAAACTCAAATTAATCATAATATTCAGTGATAAGCATAGAACAAACCTTGCTCCAGCTACTGTCCATGCATCATAAGTTTGATCAGCAAATCCACCATTGTCTATTAAACCATCTCCATCAGTATCTTGTGTTTTAAGACGATTCATAACAAGCTTGAAAAATAAAAGTTTCAACATTTTTCTTTGTATTATTTTCAATTATTCTTACTTTTATTGTTGGCCATATATCAATAAGAAATTGTTTATTTTGTGTATAGATATAATCTCGATAGACTTGTAAAACATATTTTGGACCTAAATCTTTCCAATCAGCTGTATCATGTGCTATATAAGCATTAATAAATAACCAGGGTTCTTCATCTATTAAATAGAATTGTTTTAATACGATAAAATAACATAAATTAATCTAATTTACCCGGATCACCAAGATCATGTGGAACAGAATTTAATGTTTTCCATATGCCTGATTGACCATGAAATAAATAAACACGTGATTCAAGTTTTTCAAATGCTATTGAAGTAGCTAAAATAATAAATCAGTTTTTATTTATTTTATTGATACAAAAAAAAAAGAAAAAGAAAACAAATCAAATATTTTACCATAATCATATTGAATACTTAATTCTAATTGTGGCCATAATTGTATCAAAGCAAAGGAAGCATAAAAATGAACATCATATGTATTTATCATTCGATATTCATGACCTTAACATTATATTTCAAAACAACAAGAAAAAAAAAAAAATTAACTACCTTCTAAATATCCAAATCGACCCCAACTTCTAACATGTTCAGGTAATGTTGTATCT